ACTTTAAGCAAAAGAAACTGTTTTAATAATCAGAAAACTTTTTATAATCTTTCAACATTAAAGGTAGAGTAAGAAACTTTTGTTCTTTTTTTTTGACATATGAAAATGACATTGTTTAATCTCAGTTATAAATATGAATAAAGCATTTTACATAACTCTTAAAAGACTATATTAAATAGAAAAGCACTATTCTAAAAATAATGCATCACTACTAGTTTATTGCCAAAACACAGGTATTACTTCAAGTTGGAAAATCTTTTAATACAGTAACTACATGATATGTTATAAAGAGAAAACAATGTAATCATCTTAATTGTTACAAGTTGGGACAATGAATAGTTTTAGCAATTTAGCTTTGCAAAATTTCTAAAGGTCAAATTCTGACCACATCATTTGTTGAAGGAGGATGGGCAATGAGTTTTCTCATATAATATTGGTGGGGATAAATCAATACAGCTATTCTGTAGAAAAATTTTACAGTATAAATTTGATTTTTATGATTGTTAATAGGCATATCCTCAAACAGACAGTTTACACTTGTAGTTACTACACAGAACACTCTCACATAAGTACTAACATATTTACACAAGAATGTTTATTACAGCATTGTTTGAAATAATGAAAAATTGGAAACAATATCAATTTTCTTAACTAAATAAAATGTGATACCTACATATCATGAAATAATCTGGATAGCTATATGAATAGCTCTTAAAAAACCTGATGTAAGTGATCATTTATGTAAATATTAAAATGCTAATACTTATATTTTTTCTATAGAGTATTTTTTAAATGTTTTTGTAAAAACACATGGAAACTAATGATCATGGACTATTAGTCTCTAAGTATAGCTGCTAAAAATGGAAAGTATATATGAAACATTAAAATTCTCATTTTATGTGGTCTAAGGGTATCATTTTTAGTAGTTTTTCCATTTATGATCTATTTGAAATTATAAGAGTTTAAGTGATTTCGGTAATTATATTGGTTCTTAGGCATTTGGCTGTTCTTGTTGATCAATAAAAATATTTAATTTGAATATGACCTCAGTTATAATTATTAATGTCAATCAAACTTTATCTTATGAACAGCAAACTACAAAGTTTACATGGACAAATGCAAAAAAGTTACCTAATCAATATTTCTTAATAGATCATATTTTTCTTCTCCAGTGTGGTTGATGTCATTTTACCATCCCATTCAACTTTTTGGTACATTTAACTTGAGTTATTTATCTGTATTAGAATGATTCTTTAGGTTTAATCTGTTAACATCATTGATTTTTTTATAAAATCATACTTTAAAACAACATGCTGCATGTATGTCTAAGTAGGCTCTAGATTAAATGCAATAAAGATCTTGACAATATTTTGTAAATATATAACTGCTGTGAATATATGCAAAACAAGACTAATATTTTTAATTTAAAAAGTCACCAAAAATTTTAAGTATGTTATTAGAACAAATAAAAATACTTAATATGTGGAAATATAATTTTATAAATTCTATCACACTATAAAACAGCAATAAACATAAGTGCTATGTAAATGATGAAGAGAAATATTTTTATTTTTGTCAAATTTAAATATTTGATATGATGACAACACTTAAAATAGAGGTGGCACATTCATCTTAGATTTTAGATTTTAGGTTTAGATCCAAAGGGTTCAAAAGAGACAGAAAGCTTTTCTGTGCTGACATGCACCTGAGAAATATTCAGTGTCATGGCTCATATCCCTTCGAGGCTTCCTCTGTGGGTTGGAGAGATCAGAAATATCTCTGTGTACTTAATCCTAGATGCCTCTACTAAATGAACAAGAACGAACAATGCCCTAAACAAGGCAGTTGGTTAGATAATTGTGGGTTTTCCAGAGGGCCTTTATAATTTCATATGAACTACAGACAGAACACCTATTGTCTATAGTATTATTAAATGTGAGACCTAGGAAATAACAGGAAACATTCTAAGGTCAACCTAAATTTCTGCAGCTATGATCCAGGCTCTACATCCATGAAGTAAATTTACTGCTGTAAGGAGAAATAGATTTGTCATAACTATACCAGTCATTATTTAGTCTCTAGAGCAGAAATTCCAGAATTTATGAAAGTATGATACATATGTACAGACCTATAAGTATTTATTTATTCATAAATGCTCTACAAAATTAGCTGAAAAAGAGCTATAGCATTTTTGGAAAGAAGAATTAAAAGAAGGTAACTTCAAGATATCATTGAAAGGAAATTTCACTCCGATGTTATTTAGGAGATTTAGCTTATAAGTGAAATGAGAATCATAAATTAAATGTTGCAAAAAATTCCACAATAGCTGAGGATTGCATGGGAGTATATTTCACATTTCTCCTTAACTAGGATCTGTTCTCACTAATTCTCATAGAGCCCACTTAAATTCTTTGTTTCTCACGGTGTAGATCAAAGGATTCAGTGAGGGTGTTACTACAGTGTAGAAGAGGGTAAGGAATGTACTGTAATTCTGTGCATACATGCCCTTGGGTTGAATATAGAAAGAAAATATAGTCCCGAAAAGCAAAACCACAACAATTAGGTGTGACCTACAGGTCCCAAATGCTTTCCTCCTTCCTTGGGTGGATTTTATCCTCAGCACACTCCTAACAATGCAAACACAGGAGACCAGAATAAGCCCCAGAGGTGTAACCACATAGAAGACAATAGCTATGGAAAGCTCATTTTCCAGAAAGGTTGTGTTCACACAGGCAATTTTAATCAGGGCTGGCTATTCACACACAAAATCATCCACCCTATGGTGGCTGCAGAGAGGCAATTGGAAAACAAGGACGGTCTGAACTGTGGGCCCCAGAAAGCCAGTAATCCAGGCCACGGCTGCAAGTTGCTGGAGAAGCTTTGGGTGCATGATAACACCATAGTGGAGGGGTCGACAGATAGCACTGAAGTGATCATAGGCCATAGCAGTCAGGAGAATACACTCTGTGGAGCCCAGCTCCAAAGCAACATATAGCTGGATCACACAGCCGATGTAGCTGATGGTCTTCTCAGGGCCCTTGAAATTCCAAAACATTTGTGGAACAATACTGGTAGTGAAACAGAGGTCCTGGAAGGAGAGATTAGAGAAGAAGAAATGCATGGGGCTGTGGAGTTGGGGATTGAAGTATGAGACCAGTATGATGGCTGTATTCCCCATCAGTGTCACAGGGTATATGAAGGAGATGACCAGAAGGAGAACCATCTCCAGCTGGGGCTGGTCAGAAAAGCTTAGCAATATAAAACCTGCTGGAGTGCTAAAATTTGTCCCTTTCATTGCTTCTTCATGGTGAGTCACCTTTCCTGGTCATTCCTATTTTATTTTGTGGAAGGAAATCAGATATCATAATCAGTTGAAAAGTAACAAGCTGAGTAAAGTACACATTGGACACTGGATTATATATAAAGAAACAACAGATACAGATAAAATCATGCAAAATAAAGATATAATAGGTGGGCTTGTTTTGTTAGAAAAAGGGACAAATACACAAAGTCTTGAAAGCACTAAATATATAGAGAGGAAAAAGATCAACATAGAATAGTAATCAGAGTCATATACCAAAACAGATTTGAGATATATACCAAATTTTTAGATATACACCAGTCTGAAGGTGCAATAAACAATCAATATATGTACTGTAAGAGAGCAAAAAAGTTGCAGTTAAGATGATTGTTACATAAATAGATATGTAATAGACAATAGATATAACAGATAAATTGAAAGACATATCAGGTGAGCAACACTGAGAGAGAAGGCATATAGGATTGAAGACACAGAGACAGATTAGTTAGAATTTCCAACAGGAACAGTTAGGTATGTTTATCATTAATATACAGAAGGATGATTTCTGTGAATTCCCTATTTGAGTCATTCATCTACTATCCTTATAAATACTGCTCTCCAGGAAGATTGAGTTCAGAGTCCCAAATAACCAAGCTCTTTACCCTGGTGCCATCTACATTCCACATGCTTAATATGCTTTTCTTGCAAGAGTACATAAATTCAGTCACCTAATAAATCCATTGACCTTACACAAAAAAGCTGTGTAGAATTCATCAGTGTTGTTTTCACTATTAACTTGCAATGATTAAGAAATGCAGTTATGAAAATTTGTACTTCTGAATCAATTCTGGAATCTCCATAATAACTGGAGTAGGTTGATTACTTGTGGGATATAAAGTAACATACATAAGCAATTTTTTAAAAAACTAAAAAAAAAAAAACGAAATGAACATTTCTGGGCTTCTGATATCTTGATTTAGGTTACTGTTGCTTGACTGACTACACATGTCAAAATTTATCAAGCTGTACACTAAGATTTGTGCATTTTATTATACGTACCTCAATTTTTAAAAAAGAGAAGAAATTTTCTGATTTTCCTTTCAATATCCTGACTAAAAAATAAAACTTACTTCTAAGAACCCAAGGCCATTACACCTGGTGTCAAGCAAATATTATATATTCAAGTTTAAAGACAGCAGGTGGCTTGGGCTCTTTGTCATCCTCGGTAATAATCAATTGCTTTTTGAATGTTTGCCAAGATGAAACTATTATGTGTTAAGTAGTGGAAAAACGTTCTTCCAGAATTAAAACAAAGCACCAAACTGATACAAGTGATCACATTATTTAGCATTCGTGTATCTGGCCAACTATTGTGGTAGTAAAATAAGAGCCCTGAACACTGACACACCACCATTGGCGCAGGTCTTAGGTGGCTTAATCTCCCCTGCTGTATAGCAAAGAGGGAAGTGCTGCACTGTTGAGCTGCAAAGTCCACAGGGAGGAAGACAATGGATGAGTGCCTCACTTTGCTTGATGTCATTCTACATCATCACAAATCTTTCCTTGTGTACCTATGTCACAAGAATAAATGATATTTGCTAAAGAGACTTCACACTGAAACTACTCTCCCCATTTCATATTTCTATTAATCAAGAGGCAGGTAAGGGGCTTTATGTCTGCAAAGGGAAGAAGATAGTCAATTTTTCATAATGAACAATATCATAAATGTTGGATTATCCATGAAAAACTGCATATTCAGTGTTAAAGGGAACCAGCTCTGTATTTCCTCAGCTTTTAAAATAATTTCTATTTTTTCATAAAAGTGGAAAGAAAGCCCTACATGCTAGGAAGAATGACAATCCAGATGTAGAGGCTCTTGGTGGGTTTGATGAACAGCTCAATTAGCATCACTGTTGCAGGACAGGCATTTGGGGAACCAGACATGAGGGCAATTTATAAGCTCACTGTCTCCTGTAAATTCTTGGCTCAAGCTCCCTTCAACTAGTTAGTGGTTAGCCTGTTTGTGCTGCACACTTATCTGGAGTTCTGCCAGGACAACATCCCATCACCATATTAGAGAGACACACAGGTCTCTGGGGAGCGAAGGGCCACAGAGGCTTGTGCTTCTGTTTCTACTGGAAGACAGTCAACTGCCTTCTAAACACTTGCATATGCATGTATACATGCTTTTTGCTTTAAAAGTATCCATAACAGATGTCTTTAGGTTACCATAATAGAGAGTTCTGTGGTCAGTTATGAGACAACACCCAGGAAAGGCAATTAAAATTCCAAGCAGTGAGAATATCCTTCAGTTCTACCTCACAATGAAGTTCACAAAGTCAGCTAAGGTCATTTACCTACTTTCTATCACATATTCTATTAAAAGTGTAAATTCTTTGATGGTTTCTTAAAAGATTAACATTTTTTTTTCTTGTTAGCAAATGTCAGCTTTGTACCTATGTGTGCAGACACCCACATTCATATATATACATGTATGAAGTTAATTCACAATTACTAAGAGCAAATTCATAGATTCTGAGCTATAGGAAATGATGGGGAGAAAGTGGACAAAAGGAGAATTAGTATTGCCAAAACATGTGCCTTTCTTAAAAATTGTTTAAAATATAGCCTTCATATGAAAAGGAATTATTCCCTACACACAGAATTGGTATCACTTCTTAAAGAATAGGCAATGCTTTTCTACATTTCCCTCTAAAGCAGATGGTGTGCATCCTATTCATGTGTGAAATGGTTCACTGGAGGGAAATTTAGATTTCATAAAGGATTTAAGAATTTTTGTAGGTATTTCTTATAGACAACCCCACTTGTCAGTACCCAAATCTGTATTCCTCTGTTAGGACTGCCATACCAAAATACCACAGACTGGATGTCTTAAACAACAGGAATTTATTTCCTCACAGTTCTAGAGGCTAGAAGTCCAAGATCAAGGAGTTACTAGGGTTGGTTTCTTGTGAGACCTCGCTCAGCTTGTAAGTGGCTACCTTCTCTCTCTGTCCTTACTTAGTGTTTATGGGTCATGAGTTTAGTGTGTCCAAAGGGCAGAGTATATTGGACTGTATTGTGTCCTCCCAAAATTCATCTGTTGAAGCCCTTACCTTACCCAGTGTGACTATATTTGGGGGCAGGATCTTTAAGAAGGTAATTAAGGTTAAATGAAGACATAAGGGTGAGGCCCTAATTCAGTATGACTAGTGTTCTTATAAAAAGAGGAAGAGACATTGGGCATGCTCTCGTAGAGAAGAGACCATACACAGTGAGAGGGTGCACATCTCAAACACAGGAGGAGAGACCCCGGCATAAACTGGTCATCAGTAGATGAATGGATAAAGAGACGTGGTACATATACACCATGAAATATTATTCAGTCATAAGAAGAAAATAAATCCTACTATTTGCAACAACATGGATGGAGCTAGAGGGTATTATGCTCAATAAAATAAGCCAGGTGGAGAAAGACAAGTATCAAATGGTTTCTTTCATCTGTGGAGTATAAGAACAAAGCAAAAACTGAAGGAACAAAACAGCATCAGACTCACAGAACCCAAGATGGACTAAGAATTACCGAAGGGAAAGGGATTGGGGAGGACGGGTGGAAAGGGAGGTAGAAGCAGGAAAAAGGGGCATTACAATTAGCACACATTATGTAAGAGAAGACAAGTAGTGTTTCTATAGCATCTTACTATGCTGATGGACAGTGGCTGTAATGGGATATGTGGGTGGGACTTGATAATAGGGGGAGTCTAGTAACCAAAAGAGGAAGAGACTTTGGGCATGCTCTCGTAGGGAAGAGACCATGCAAATCCACAGTGAGAGGGTGAACATCTCAAAGCCAGGAGGAGAGACCCCATGAGTAACTGATCCTACTGGCATCTTGACTCGGACTTCTAGTCTCCAGAACATTCAAAAATAAATCCATGATTTAGAAGCCACCCAATCTGTGGTATTTTGTTATGGCAGTCCTACCAGACTAATGCAGCCTGTTTATTTGATTCGTGTTTATTTGAGTTGATTTCTCTGGAAGGTTTACAGGAAGAAACTATCCCTCAAAACAGTTCATACAAGGGATAAATGAAAAAGTATACCTTTAGCTTTTTTTATCATCACCTTCCTATGGGACAAGGTTTACCCCTTGGGGAGCTAATTCCCACAAATATCTGTTTCAATGCATAAGCTGTTGGCCAGTAAGCTAGACTCCCACATCCGTCATGTGACACTTCATCAATGACCAACAGTGAAGGGCTGACTTTACACAAGATCTTCACTAACCAAAGAAAAAAGAAGTAAACAGGTGAGGAATCTGAGAAGGCTCACAAGGATTGTGTCCAACACAAGTTGTGAAAGCACGAACAGACATGCCATTGACATGCATGAGAAGTCTCAATATTGGAAAGAGATCACTACTTGCCAATGCGATCATGAGTAACAGCAAAATTTCTTAAAAGGAATGTAACAAATTAATTTACATTTCAAAGTAAAATATAGTGGGCTAAGCATAGCCAATGTTATTTGAAGAGAAATATAGAAAGGATAAAAGACATATATTTTATATCAAACCTAATTCAATAAATGTATTTGGAAATTTGGTTTAGCCATTGGAAGGAAATAAAATCTACATTGTGGACTAGATATATGCTTTGTTTATTTTTTAAATTTATATTAGGTAAATTATTGTATTTATATTATTAATTTTATTTGTATTTATATTTTATTTATTGAAAGTACAAATATGTAAGATTTGGAATAAATGCAAGAGAATGGTTATACCATAGAACAAAAACAGAACACAAATCATAAAACAAAAATTGTTTAAAAATTTAGTTACATAAAAAATTACATGTTGGATTACATATATGATCAATTGTATGGTTGGTTGTAACTTCTCTTATATTTCTGATTTTATTTGTCTCTTTTTCTTGATGAATGTAGCTAAAGGCTATCAATTTTCTTTATATTTTATTGTTATTTATTTATTT